CCCCTGATCTTCGGAGTTCACTTGGAGGGAAGAATGGTAGAAAGGCAAAATCACAGAAGGTAGTGAGGGTGTGTGGATGAGGCACCACTGGACTGGGAACTAAACCTGCTGAACCAGTTGAAGAAATTGGTTTAGTGTTCATTTCTGAATTTAATTCCTAACATGATTATAGAATTCTCAGATTTCTCTTATGTCCTGTTACCTGACTGTTCATTGGACTCCTTATGCGACCCAGTGGTAAAAAGTCTAGAAACACCTCTGTGTGGCTCAGAGGTAGAGTGGCTTGTCTACTTCTCTCCTCCAGTTCTTATTTTAAAGTGTCCCTAAACATAATACTGAACCCCAAATCCACCCATCAGTTTGCATGTGTGTGCTACAGAAAAGGGTTAAAGTATAGTGAGGATAGCACTTAATGAATGTGTTCATGTGTAAGTAAAGTAAGCATAGAAAAGAACAACTTAAATACCAGTCGAGTCCTGTTAGTCCCTCAGATTTCAAGCTCGTGGCTACACAGCTGTGGCGGCTCGCACAATAGAGTTTAGCCTTTTTCTGTGGCTCAGAGGAATTTCAAATACTATGCAAGATAATGCAAATGTAAAAAAAAAAAGGAAAAATATTATTATTTAGTGAACTGTTTGCAAAAAATATGTTTTTATATTTTCCACACCTTAAATTCATCAGCCCATACTCACTGTATTCTGTCTGTTGTAGATGTGGGAACACGACCAAAGGGAGAGAAGATTCCTCATGAGCAGCAGATCAAGTTCTTTGGAAAGGTGATGAAATCTTTTTTGACTAGACACTTATTTTTCTTGTTTTGTTTTATTAAGTTTATATATCAAATTTAGTTTTTTGTAATCAGCAACAGAATTCAAAATTAAGTCATTAGGTTGACTAAAACTGCAAATAATTATGATCTCTTCTTCCAAATTGACACAGAGCAGAATAAGCATTTGACTGACTCAAAGCAAAATGTGTACATTTCAGGCTTTTCCTGGTTTGTGCCTGTTCAAAATCCTCTGTAATGGTTAGCTAAAGAGGCACAGTGACAGCACAGTGAAGGCATGGACACAGTTTTTGATGATGTGACGTTGTATCTGTAGCGCAGAATTTTAGGGGAAGAGCTATGAACATAAAAATCATTAGTTACTAAATTTGTGGCAGGTAATTTACTGAAAAGTGTGCTAATAATTAACTCAAACAAAGAATAACGATGGGCGATGAGGGATGAGGAAGTGTGAATAGTGCTGCGGTTTGTGGGGGGCCTGGCGACGGCTCTCGGGCCGGGCATGAAAATGAGAACAGCAGGTATTGGAGAAGGGGGTTTTTTATAGCCTGAGGCCAGAGGGGGCGTGAAGGAGGAGTGGTCCCGCTCCTGAAATTCAGAGGATATCTCCACTTAGTTTGGCACCTGATAATGCTCAAAGTGTTCCGTGTATAGAAAGTTCTGTATTTTATTAAAACTGACCCGAAAAGTTTCTGAAGACTAAAATCAATATGATTGACAAGCTCTGAGGCTTCATGTCTCACTCCTAGGTCGTCCTGCCGTTGGTGGATCAGTACTTTAAAAACCACAGGCTGTACTTCTTGTCCACGGCCATCCATCCCATCAGCAGTGGTGGCCATGCCTCTAACAAGGAGAAGGAAATGGTGACCAGGTGAGCATGGCCTGCACCAACAGTAAAAAGTCAGGCATATTGTTGAAAGGAATAAAACATGAGAATGTCTTATTGCCTAAATATTGAATGTCTGGTCCTATGGGCTCTTTCCTCTGTGTTCCTCTCATTTGATTGCCTCACACTTTTGTCTTCCTCTTTTGTCTTCCTCTTCTTCCGTTCTGCCTCTTCTTCTCATCTTCCATTAAATCTTTTCAGTCTTTTCTGCAAACTGGGAGTTCTTGTCAGACATAGGATATCCTTGTTTGGTAAGGACAGTGTAAACATTCGAGTTAACTCCCTAAAGATAAAATATTTGATTTTTAAGCCAATTTTCTTAAAAGATGGCAAACTGCAACTGTGTTTATTAGCTTGCTGTCTGTTTCCCTGTTTTTGATGGCACATTGTGGTTTATCCTGGCATGTTACCAACACATTTAGACTTTTTGAACAGTGGAAACATTTGCAAGCGTTTATTTTCACTATGCAGCCTTGTGAAAAACTAAGTACACCCCATGATTCAGTTAACTGGAAAAACACCTTTAGCAGCATTGCTGTAGTTTTGGTTTTCTATGTGAGTTTTTCAGTCTCTTATGTTGTTGTGAAAGAGTTCTGGCCCAGTCTCCTTTACAATGTTGTGTCAATTCTTTAAGATTTGCAGGTATTTATTCCTGAATAGCTGTCTCAAGATCTTGCCACAGGGTTTCAGTTGGGTTCATGTTTGGCACCTTGATTGTTTTCTTTTCAGCAATTCTGTTGTATTTTTGGGCCAAGCTTTAGCAGTCAGACCAAAGGCTTCACATATGAGTCCAGAATACTTAGATATGCAGAGAGGTTCATTGTCAGTTCAGTGACTGCGAGGTGCCCAGCTCCTGTGGCTGCAATACAAGCCCATCACCAATCCCAGAAGTCTTGTGACATCTTTGCTCTTTGTATTCTTTGTTCAGATTGAACTTTACCTAAACCTAAAACATGTTGTCATGGTCTTTTTAAAGAGAGGAGGCTTACTCCTTGTTCAATCTATTTCTAACTGTGCTGTCATGAAAGGTAATATTTAACATGCTAACTGAGACGATCAGTCTTCAGTCTGAGCTGTAGCTTTCCTCTGAGCATTGTTACTGTCTGACTTTAAGGTGCATTTTCTGGCATGCGCAGTCCTGGGAAGATTATGGCCTGATGTTAACACATCAGTGATCCAGATGAGCAAACTGCAAAAAAAGGGTCACATTTGCTAATTGGCAATAATTGAAGTGCATTTGAAGGACATCTGGCTGCTACTTACCCTGTTAATTCCTGTTGAATTATTACTTGTGTACTCAGTTTTATACAGGACTGCATGGAGTCCTATGGAAACTTTTTTCTGACTGACTGTATTTTGATACATGGCACTTCTACTGCAGTTTACTTTTAAACTGCAGTACATTCCTCCTGTCCTATCAGACGGGAGCTTCATAAGCCAACTTGTAATTGGTGCAGGTGTCTGCAGGGATGTCACGATACCAGAAGGTTTGAGCCTGTATACTTTAATATATGATAAATATGATACCACTCACACATACAGTGACAGACTGAACAGACTTTTCTTTCCTCCAATGCAAAATACCAATACTATCTAGTTTTTCTACCAGTGACTTGGTAGCAAAGTATGAGTTGTCGTGGCATCCCTAAGTGTGTGTGCATGCATGGTATTGTGGGTGTATAAATCCTCATCACTGTGTCCTCACAGGAAAAAGATGTTCCATTTCTTTAGACTCAAAAATGGGCACTTTAGAAACATATTGTCAAAAATGAAAGATAATTATTAGTTGCATGTAAAGCAAAAGCTGTTAGAATATCAATTATGCTGATATTTAATGGCTTTTGCTATCAGCCACTGATGACAGGGTAAAAGTAGCAAGTGTAACATTTCCACTTAACATAAACTTTATTTTATAATTGTTTATTTATTGTTTTTCCAAGGAACATCATTTTCCTCAACATAACATAACAGTTGTTGTGTAAGTGTGGTTTTGTGCTAAAAATTTCACATCCAAGACAGATACTGTGTGAAGCCTTTGCGCTCCATGATGTGAGTTTGCAGTTTCACAGCTAATTCTCTCTGCTCACCAGGGAACAATGCCACTTCCATTGTCAACTGTCTGCAGATACTGGGACAAAGCCTGGATGCCAGGTAAAAACGTGACCAGTTGTGACCTCATAATGATGAATGACGGGAATGCTTTCAGCTTTCTATGGAAAAACAGAAATGAATAAAGCAAAAGAACAAATACAGAAAAATTAACATGAATCAATGCAGATTTTCAAAAATAAGTACCACAGAGAAAAGGAATCAGTGACTTTAACCCAAAGCAGTATGAACTACACTGAGTGTGGTAGTTGTTCATATAAGCTGCAATATTAGCTGTCAAGAGATAGCAGTCCTCTTTTAAACAGTGGTAAAGTCTGGGTTTGAAGGGCAGAGACGTAATAACAAACTAGTGTATCAGCCAGGAGACCAAAGTTTAGTTAACAGGTGTGGGACAGAAATCCGAGTCAATGAATGCCATAAAATACAAACTCTTACATAAGTAAGCCTAGACTACAAAGTTTAGTTCTCAATGCAAGTGATAAAACCCATAATTTCAAATTATAGCTGGCTGAAATAACAAGATTAAAAAGATTAAAAAGAATCTAAGAAAACAGCACAGTATAGCTATAAGACAGGTTTGATGGATGTGTTTCTGTCTGGAAACATCATGAAAACTCAGACTGATAAAGGATAATCATTATGTGTGGCTATAACAGTGAATTCTTACCTCAGATAATTATGTGTTTCATTGTTTTGTACTTTTAGAAGCAAAGTTTAACGAGGCCTCTCACAAAAATAATCGTCAACACCATTTAGTTGGAAACTCAGTAAAATCCTGACAGCGTTGAATGAATAATATTTACTAGCAAATACTGGTAAAATTGCCCCGTAGTTATCAGACTGGTTGAATGTGCCCATATTTTCTCAAAGTGCTTTTTTCGTGTTTGAAAAAAGAACATCTCTTGTCAAGATATTAATGTAACTCTATCAGGACAGTGATGAAGACGGGCCTGGAGTCAGTGAAGGCGGCTTTACGGTCATACTTCGACAGCGCAGCGAAGGATCTGGAGAAGACTCAGGAGAACCTGAAGCTCGGCCAGTTCACTCACAGCAGGGACCAACCACGAGGAGCGACTCAGATCATCAACTACACGACCTTCGCCCTGCTCCCCGTCCTCTCCTCACTGTTTGAACACATCGGACAGAACATGTTTGGAGAAGACCTCATTTGTAAGTGAAAACTTCACGTTTCATCTGGACGATGATGTCAGTTTACCTACAGATTTTGTCTCTCTTGCCTCAGTGGGTGATGTCCAGGTTTCCTGCTACAGAATCCTTAACAGCCTCTTCCTTCTGGGAACCAACAAAAGTATCTATGTTGAGAGGTAGGAAACATCCATGGTCCACATGTGATAGATTTAGTAAAAATATGTTTCACGTCGCATGCAGTAGAGTTCAGAAGAATGAGACCACATTGAGAATCTGTCCTGGTTTCATGTAAACCTGGAAATGATCAAATATGCTTGATTCAGGAATATTCAAAAAGAGAATTATTATGTAAAATGAAGAAGAAATATAGTACTATGAAAGTCTTGAGCACTTTTCTGTTGTTTTTATTTTATTTATATTCCTATTATTTAGAGATTGATTGAAACAAGCAAACATAAATACAGTATGTAAGGTAAAAACAAGTACTCAGCACTTTTCCATGGTTGATGAACGGATTGTTTCCCTGCACCTTCAGGTTGAGATATGGGTTGTAGGATGTAGGATTGGTGGCTGTATGTCTTGGACACTCAGGTGGAGATAGGAGCAGATCTGTCAGCTGATACCACCAGGTGCTGAATTGGATATAGTGGTGGGGGATTAAGTTGGAGAGGCCTGGCGTGCCCAAACGGATAAGTAGCATGCACTGGGAATGTATGGCAGAGGCCCCGTTTCGTGACATCTTCAACTTCTATGTCCGGCAGAACTTCAACAGCATCCTGAGGGTGGTTGGGATGTTAAGTCTGAATGGACCAGGTTCCACACCTCCATTGCTGAGGCAGATTTACGGTGCTGCTAATAATAAATATAAAAGCCTATTAAATAAATAAATGACCTATTAAGTAATAATGGCTGAGTCAATAAGTCAATTCAAAATGCAGAATGTAGACTGTATATTCGGAGGTGTGGCAGTTTGGCACAGTTCATCAGACTCATATCATCTGGAAAAACTCATCTTCAGACTGGTGGATCTCGCCCCAGATGCTGCGCAGCCTCCAGCTTGAAGGGAGGGCGAAAAACAGTCCATGTGTAGGATGGGCGGAGTACGGTGTCTCGTGATGCTAGTTGCTCTGTTGTTGCATCTGCTGGTGTAAATGTCTCAGTGGGATGGTACATCCAATAGCCCTGCGTGCAGTCTTAACCGCTCACTGCGGTGTCTGCTTCTCTTCTCTGTGGTGCAGCTGCAGGGCCAGACAGTAATCCAGGCAGTCATTGTGCTCTCCACCACACACCTGTAGACAGAACTGCAGATGGTGGAGTTCAGCCCCGCTCCCTTCAGCTTCCTCAGAAAATACAGGCATTTATGAGCCTTTTTAATAAAGCTGAGAGTGTTATCACACCACTCCTGTACTGGCTTCTCTTAAATTAAATCCAGTTGTTAAATCCAAAATCAAATTTAAAGTCCTCCTCATCACATACAAGGTCTTGAATAATCAGGCACCATCATATTTTAAAGGCCTCATAATACAGTATCATCCCAATAGAACTAGAACTCTCAGACTGCAGGCCTACTTGTTGTTCCTAGAGTATTTAAAAGTAGAATGGGAGGCAGAGGGTTCAGGTTTCGGGCCCCTCTTCGGTAGAACCAGCTCTCAGACACCATCTCTACAGTGCGTCATGCAGACATTGTTCTCCTTTTAGAAATCCCTAAAGGGGAATATCTAACAAGGGAAACCTGCAGTCAGAAGTGACTGAAGAAGTCACTTGGATAAGTGACGAAACATTTCTCCCACTGAAAACGTGCAGATGAGCAGAATCAACTTTTTGGGATTTCCTTACCTTGATGATTGAGCATGCATCAACACATCACTTTTCAACAGAACATTGCTGGCTAAGCAGCATTAAGATACATGGAAAAGAACAAGTCATAAGTCATAATGGTATTCTGATCAGATCATGGCTGGACTGATGAAAGCCATCCATAGTCATCATCATCATTACCTTTATTTATAAAGCACTTTAAAACTGTTAGGTGTGGCTGTGTGCAGGCAGGAATAGGACCCAAGGTGCAGACTCCGGAGACAGAACTTAAACAAAAACAGCTTTAATGCTGAACGCAAACATGACATAACTGGAAAAAACTCAAAATAAACTTACACCGGTGGACAGGCAAAACACACAGCAAAGTAAACGGTAGATCGCAGACACAGACACTAAGAAACACAGGGCTTAAATACACAGAGGGAGCAATCAGGGAATGGGTAACAGGAGGGAAACACAGCTGGGGCAAATCAGGCCTAACGAGACAAGGGGAAGCAAAACCAGACACATTAACATCAGACATGGACTTTCAAAGTAAAACAGGAAACACATAACACAGACTGAACAAAGACACAGGCTCATAAGCAGGCACTACAAAGGGAACAGAGACGTGGGAACAGGGCAGACACAAACACTGACTGAACACGGGGATATAGGAACTTAGGATACACATAGACGCGAACTAGACAAGGGGATGCAGGTGATAGGGGAGACAGAGCAACTAAAGAAGACAGAGACCTAAGCCATAAGACAGAACTCAAAGAAACCAAAAACTAGACAGTATAAATAATATCATAAACTCAAAAACCCTGGGTCGACGACCCAGGCATCCTAACAAAAACAACCACAGCTGACACAAAGTGCTGTACATAGGAACTATATAATAAAATTACATAAGAAATAAATACAAGCCAAATAAAAGAAAAAGTAAAATAATTAATAAAATAACTAATTTCATTACAAGAGAAAACTAAGTCTCACTGAGGTTAAAAGCCAAAGAATAAAAGTGGGTTTTAAGACGTGATTTAAAAGTGGAGAGTGAAGGGGCCTCTCTAACATGCAAGGGCAAATTAGAAAAGGCCCTGTGCCCTCTGAAAACTCTCTTTTCTTTTCATAAAAATGTACAAAGGTTCGCAGCCGAGTGTGAAGCAGCGGGAATGAGGATCAGCACCCCCAAATCTGAGGCCGTGGTTCTCAGCCGGAAAAGGGTGCTGTGTTCACTCTTTTCCGGGTGTTCACTCTTTTCCGGGTCGGAACTCATCCCCGACCCAGATGAGTGGAGGAGTTCAAGTATCTCAGGGTCTTGTTCGCGAGTGATTGGGAGAAGGGAGCCGGAGATCGACAGACGGATTGGGTGCAGCCGCAGTGATGCGGACGCTGCACCGGTCCGTCTAGCATGAGGTTGAAGCGACGAAGAGATGCTTAGTGTAAACACGAAGCTGCTGCAATTTACCGGTCGATCTACGTCCCTACCCTCACCTATAGTCATTGAGCTGTCGGGTAGAACGACTCGCT